TAACGCTACTAACAGAAATAAGATTTGTAGTCAACTTTGGAACATGAAGTGTATTCGACAAAGTTAATGAAGGAGTAACTGATATGTGACCCTTCCCAGCAATGGAAGATGGAGAGCCATCAGCAAGACGGACCTTGCGTTGGCCAGAGCAGATACTATAAGATTGGAAGAGTGAAGACATACCAGTCATATTGTCTGAAGCACCAGAATCAATGATCCATAGTGTTGAAGATGTAGATACGCTATGTGCAGACGCAATAGTACCTGAGTGGGCATAAGTGGAGGTTGGCTGAGATGATGCCTCCATTTGGTTGAAGAATTGCTTAAACTTGTCCAAATCAGCTTGAGTCAAGGTAACTGTGGCAGAAGATGTAGAGGCAGGGTTGTCAGGAGTTGACAACGAGACTGGTTGTGTAACAGAATGTGCAGAGGATCGAGGCTGTTGTTTCTGTTGCGGTGGACGTCCATGTAGAGCATAACAACGAGATTTGATGTGACCAATTTTTCCGCAATGGTCACACCGTCCAAGTTGTCGTCCCAGAGGAGGACCGGTGGTAGTGCTCTGAACTGACTGGGATGGTGAAGTTCCTGAAAGGTTGGGAATCCGAACTGCCATAGCAGAACAATCAACAGAAGCAACACCTAATGGATGAGTCCGGCGGCTCTCATTTGACAACACATAGGAATATGCATCCTCAAGAGTAGGGAATGAAGATAAGCCCAATAAATGAACACGAGCATACTCAAACTCGTCGTTCAACCCGACAAGAAACTGAAACACTCGATTCTTCTCCACAATTCCTGCATATAAAACGGCATCATCTGGATCCTTCCAAGAGTGGAAGGAATTATAATATGACATCTCCTCCCAAATAGCACGAAGCTTGGCGATGTAACCTGAAACTGTCAAGTCACCCTGAGAAATCCTAGTGATATCTCGCCAGCTGGAAAATTTGTGCATTATTCTGCCTCTGAGAACAAGTGCGTTGAACTGAATCCCAAATCTGCTTAGCAGTCTTCATAAACATATAGCCAACAACTATATTTGGTTGCATCGAATTGACTAGCCAAGACATAACCATAGCATTATCTGCAAACCACTGTGGATATGCCTTCTCTGACTCAGCTGGCTCTTTCTCAAAACCAGTAATATAGCCAATCTTGCCTTTGCCACCAATAAACATCTTGGCAGACTATGCCAAAATCAAATAGTTGGAACCATCCAACTTCACTGTGGTGATTTAAAGTCCTGGATTTTCTGATGAGTTGGTGGGAAAAATGGCACCACCACCCACAAAACGTGAGCCAAGAAAATTAACAGTCGAGGACCCTGACTCTGCCATAATCTATCGCACGACAATAAAAAGAACTCCAAAAACACCACAAATTCTGTTAATAAATCAAAGGGTCTCCTCAGACCACAAACAATGTCTCCTCAGACCATTCCCGAAAAATCCAAATACATACCTTTTTTAAGGAGCGCTGCCCGCTTACATATAGCCAGACAGCCTCGTTCTTAATATTCGGAACCTCTTTGTAAACTAATTTTTTTTTACCCAAGCCTTTCTAGGTGTTGGAAACCAACTATCCCAATTTACCCAACCCTAGAAGAGTGAAAAAGAAATTGTAAAATTTAAAAATACCTGTTTTCGATCACAAAATAGCAACACAAAAAAACATGTGTAGGTAAACGTCACACGATGTCACAAACAGCCTAAGGTAGCTGTCGCACAAGTAGCAAGGCTGCTGAAAGGTGTGGAAAGGTGTTGGTTCTGATACCAAGTAGAAATATATAAAGAGAAGAGAAAAGAGAGAATTGCGCAAAGGCTTGAATGAGTTAAATTACCCATTCACAGCTCTAGTATTTATAGATAAAATAAGCACATGCTCATATTACAAGAAAGGAAACTAAATCAAATCATTGCATATTCTATGCCTAGACATATGCGTAAATAAAGTCAAATACATGATTTATGGCAATCATATCTCACAGATAATATAGTAAATCACATCCCATGATTTGGGCCTATCATATCTCGGCTATTATGGTAAGTTATACCATAAATCGTGGTATCACAAATCCTAACAATAACTATTGGTTTCGATGTAGTTGTTACAGGGCTATTATTTTTTCATTACTTAGAGTACAACTAATTTTAATTTTATACAATGAAGTTAAAAATAGTTAATGGACTAATTGATGGGTCCTGGGGTCGACTAGTAATTTAAGAAATCCATTGGAAGCCAAGTATTGAATAGCCCATCTACATCCCAATCCTAGCCTATCTAGGATTGCAAGCAAGATGGTTGGATAAAAGTCGACCAACATCCAGCCGAGGGAGGGCAGTCTGTCGAAGCAACAGGTTGGGAAACCAAGAAAACATTTTGCATCCTCTTATCTTCTCCCAGCCCAAGGAGGAAGGGAGAGATTTGTAAAGGAAAGGGGACATCCAACCCCCAAGGGCAGCCCATCTCTCTCCTCCCCGGTAGGAAAAGCTTTGTTCTACAATAAGTTAGACCTTTTTATCCATGTATTTTAGAAAAGCTTTCATACAAGCTTTTCAAAAGTTGTAATTACATCCTTCAAAGATGATGGTTCTCGATATGGGAACACCTTCCTTATGGCCCTCCATGACCTACTCATTAATTTAGAAGAGAGGGGGGAGGGGAGGGGGCCTCCAACCCTAGGGGCGGCCCACCTCTCTCCTCCCCCGTAGGAAAAGCTTTGTTCTACAATAAGCTAGACCTTTTTATCCATATATTACAAAAAAGCTTTCATACAAGCTCTCCAACAGTTGTAATTACATCATTTGAAGATGATGGTTCTCGATATGAGACCGCCTTCCTTGAGGCCTTCCATGACCTAGTCATTAATTTAGAGCAACCCTCACTGATGCCAATTGATAGTGAGGACCATACCTAATGCTCTGATGAAAGCTGCGCAAGGCTTATGATCTAGACTAAGAGGGGTGCGAATAGGCCTTGTAAACAGATTACCAAAATTATTGCTTTTGAATTTTTAACTAGATTACCTGAATTTTAAAGTCAATTCATATCATAAAATAAAAATCACTCAATCTATATGGCAATAAGCAAATACAGTAGTAAAGCAATGGGCATGGAGATATTTATGTGAACTCTAAGGAAAAAACTACAGACCTAGTCTAGGAAAACCAAAATCAACTAAGAGAAAGGAAGTTTACAACCTAGGTTAACAATATCCAAAACCTTAGAACCCTAGTCAACTCCCTTACATAGATGGCGCCATACTTTTTCCTAAAGGCCTTCAAGTCATCCTTTCACTCATCAATAGACTTTGCTCTTTCCCAACCTGTTTTTCCACCGGTGAAAATTATCCAGGCTCAATCTCTCAAGGTGGAATTTTTTTTTTTTTCTTTTTTTGATAAATGAAAATAGAGGTAGCTCTGAAGGTGGATTGAGAGTAATGTTGAACTCTTTGATTAAGTATACAGCAATAGATGTCAACAAATATAATCACATTCACCAATTCTATTAACGATGAATGCAATATATGCTCTCTTTATCTGCTGAGGAGACTATTGAGTTTTTGGCTTCCTTGGGGCCTTAGGATTCCCAGGTTTTTGTGATTTGTAAGGGATGTGTTCCCCTCTCGAACGCTTTTTTTTTTAAATTATTATTTATTTATCAAAAATATATATATGCTCTCTTTATATGTATTTTAGGTTATGTTTTTGTATACTATTTTCTTCCCTATCATGATTTATATATATAAGTGAAGCATAAATAATACGCAGTTGGTAGAGTTTAAAAACAAATTTGAAACTGCTTTTCAACAAAACTTGATGGATCAAAATACTCGTAAATCAACAAGGCTCCAATGGGCCTCGACCGAGGTCTACTACAATGTAAGCTTAGAAAGCTTTCAATTCAAGAAGCATCCAAATACTCTTTTAATGAACGTTTTGAAACAATTTAAGGAATCAAAGAAGATCAAATAATGTAAAAATCAAAAACCCTAATTATGGGGTAAAGTGCAAAAAACAGCCCTCAGTTTTTTATGTAGTACATAGAACAACCCTTGTGACTAATCAACTAAGTATATATAACTACCTACTACTTTGGAAAAATGTTGCACATAACTACCCTCCCTCCACCAACCGTGAACATGTGCAGCTCTCGTGACCAATAGTTAACCCTTAATTACCCAAATACCCTTAAATGTACCATATATATAACGTCCAGTGCAAAAAAACGCCCCTCAATTATTTAAGCAATGAATATAACACTTGGGATTGATGAACTGAACTAGTTGAGGCAAAATAAAAATGGTTTTTAATCACGTATTGTACTGTTAGTAGTTTACTCGTTTTATTTTGAAACATCGTGTCTTTTGTCAGTATCATGAACTTTGGTACATTTTATGCTTGTATTACACTGTTTTTTGACATGTATAGTATATTGTCGTCGTACAATTTTGTTCAATGGTTTGGTATTCAATATAAAAAAATCACACTAATAACACTTAATTGGTTATATATCCATTACAAAAAATAAGTATTTCCATTACAAAAAAATAATAGCATTCATTATACTTTTTTTTTTTTTTTTTTTGGTTATAAGTGATCACATTCTTTACACTTAACCACCAACAAAGTTAAAAGAGCCTGATGAAATGGAAGCACCATATGGGTCAAAAAGTTTAATTTTGTGACATAAGTAAACCCAATGTTCTATATAAACTATTAATGCAATAATAATAATAATAATAATAATAACAAATAATAATAAATAAAGAAGAAAATACCTAATTCTAATACAAGTCATAATTTATGATGTCATTTATGCATAACACAATTCACAATCCTATTCCCATTAGCTAACATACTGTCAACGCAAGAGAGGACATACTAAGACAGGAATATAACATATGATAATTAATGATATCTCAAAATATGATTTAAATTAATATGCTTAAATTTTAATCAAATCAAACACTAAGGTTTCGAAGTAGTTGTTACCTGGCATAACAACTAGACGATTTGAAGGGTGCTAAGAAGCCCTTATTAGCTTAAACCACTGCAATTTGCATCCATCACTAATAGTTTGCCAAACCTCAGCTTGATAAGTATTCTTCACACCAGCATCAGTTGCCTCAAATGTAATATTCCAGATCAAACCAGATACGATACCTGTTCTTGCCCAGAGCACTCTCACAAACTCAAGATTTGAATTCTGTAACGGAAGTTATGCCACTTCAATTAGTAAAAATGATAAATCACCCACATAATGTGCGCAGTATCATGAACATTTTGCAGTTTACATCCCTCTCCCTCTCTCTCTCACACACAGACACAGATAAGAGAGGGAGGGAAGGAGTTGGAGAGCCACATTAGACAGTTCATGTTGGAACTAAAATAACCCATTATTATTTTTTGATTTATTCAGCCCATAAACATAAATAAATAAATATAAATAAGCACGCAAGATTAAACCTGTTGCTTGTTGTGTTGCTCCACAGCAGCACGGGCGGCTTTTAAACGATAATCATCCATATTTCCAAAGAACGGACGAGTTCCACAGGCGCAACCCGACTCAGACACCTGTAATTGTAGTAGATATTAATGTACATATACATATATATATATATATATATATATGAGAGAGAGAGAAAGAAAGGGATAATACCTCCCTGGCAACAGGATTTTCTAAATGGAACAAGTCTTTGAGTCCCTTACGCATGCAATAAATGATTTCAGCAAGACGAGTGCTCGAAGAGGAAGAGGAATAACGACAGAAAGACCTTCTCAGATTTTGGTGGTGGTTTTTGATTGAAATACCACTCAAAAAATTTCTCTTCGTCAAATTCAGATGATTCTTATAACCAAGTCTACCCACTTTCTCAAGCACACAACGAAGATCCATCAATAATGGGTGCCTTGTACGAACTGAACGGCGGCGATGATGCTTTGAGGAGGTCGGATTGAACTACTGCGGTCGATAGAAAAGTCCGTGGTTACCACTTTATACTATTTTCTAAATCAAATTTGGGGAAACAACCTACTTGCTCACCCACTGTGGTATTCAGAAATGACCAACATACCCTTTACTTTACACTCCATTCAAATTAACACAATTATAACTATATCTACCCTAGACGCCGATCCTTTTTATAAATGTAATATCCCTTTTGAAAAATAAATGTAACATATTTTTTAAAATATTAAAAATTTAGTTTTATTATATTGAATCGATAAAAAGTAAATCATTATATTTTTGTTAGTCCATTAGTATTAAATTTGATAATTCATTCACTACTAATATAATAATAATTTTCATAAAAAGTTAAATTCTAAAAAATGTCCACTATTTTATGACGAAATAGTATTAAAATTCTTAATTAATAGACTCCTATATCAATTATACTACCGTATCAAAACTATACTCCTATATCAAATCAGTTATTCCTAACTAACCAACCATTATTCATATTATAATATTTATCAAATCCGTCATTGCAAACTAAACAATCATTATTTATATTATAATATTAATCAACTTCACACATGTTATAATATTGATAATTTATTTTGCTTCTTTCTATTGGATAGCCAGATCAAAAACAATAAATTTAGGCTCAAAAATGACCTATATTAGATTTAAAACAAAGAAGTTATGATTATTTGAAGATGGCGCAAAAGAAAAAATAATAACAAAAAAATCGTCCGGGAAGGGTGAAAGATCGAACTAGTGCCCAAAATGGGTGATCAATCACCCATGCACCAAAAAGTGCAAAAACCTCCCTTATCTAAGGCCTTGGGCACCTCATTAGTACCAAACAAGGTTCGAAGCGCCACCGAAACCCTTCCCGAATATCCTACAAATATCTGAAAGTCGAAGGTCTGTGAATCATGTCATAGACAAACGTGATCCAAATGAATAAGTGCAGCATACAATGAAATATGCATTAAAGATGAAACTCACACATTGAAAATAAAATGGCGTTATGGCCTCAAATACATCATATTGAATTCACTTACACTTGCATACTCTAAAAGTAATACACGAGATTACAACCACAAAAGAAAGAAGTGCAATATAGTAATTGAATTCCCAAGATATACATGAAAGGTTATGTACGTATAAAAAAATAAAAAAAATTACATCCACAATTGAATCAAGGTGTGTCATCAACTCTAAAAGTCGTCTCAGGCAACTCCTTTTTCTGAAAAATGGCTATATAATAGGAGTGAGCACCACGGCTCAGTAGGATGGTGAATTATACAAGTAAAGTGTGTCCTTTGGAATCTCCAAGGACGTGCAAGAAATATTCGGCATTCCAAGGATAAAAGGTCATACAACCTATGATTCTAAACTTCATGAAATGAAGGGGATCATACACCCTAACTTTAATCACCGTAGCATGATAATCCGACTCAACTCAATTAAATCATATAATCAAATCATGTATCAACCATAACACATCATCAAGAGTATCCATAAATAAATTACAATCCTCAAATAGCACATTATCAAATAATGACCATCACAACACTACAATGGTAATAGAGTCTACATAACCCCATGAATTATGAACTCAGCGCAATCCCATGAACTCCGCCATAGCTCGACTCACTCAATAAGAATGTTACAATGCAAAATGATAATGCCCATACCAAAAATCATATTCCGCACATTAAAATGAATTGGTGCACTTCCGCACCCCATTGGCCAATGTACATAGGGGTTTACAACCCTTGGGCACTGAGCCACCCTCTTTAAAACTTGGATAGCATATATCTGTAAAATATGTCATGTATACGCAACCCATAAACCAAATGGCAACCACAACGTACCCACACTATGACCCACACTTGATAGAAATTACTCCAATGCCAAAATCATGTCTAAATTACTTATGTAGACATTTAATCAAATCCTTCAAATGTATATATGTAATGACCCGGATTTTCACAGATAATTTTTTTTCCGTTGTCTTTTCTTTCTGAGTTTGGTTTCTCGTTGATTAGTGTCGTCTCGAGTACTCTGGAATGATTTATGAGACTCGTTCATGTGGATTGACAACTTCCTTTGAGGACCGACTCATTTTCACATTTTTCATTTTTCGACACTATTCACTTTTTGTCATTTTCCCTATTTCGACTTTTTTCCTGTTTTGTCTTTTCCCGTTTGTGACTTTGTTTGCATAACCACACTTCTTGTGTTTGGAGTTGGTTTTTGACTTCACGTATCTTCATCTTGAGTGGTTTCCATGAAATACGTATCTTTACTTTTGCAAGAAAGTACTCTGGTTGCTCCCGGTGTCCATAGGGGCATGGATGCACAGTTCTTTGGAATCTTTTTCTTTTTTTGGGGTGTTTTTCATAAATATCTTTTGAAGATATTTATTTTAAGGGTTTCTAAGAAAATATCTTTTTGGAAGATATGTTCATTCTGGGGCAGTTTCGCAGTTTTCACTTTTTGGAGGGGCCATTGTGCAATTAATGGAAGTTATTGCTCATGTCTTGTTTTGAGCCTGAATCCTTGTACGGGATTCATTTTGACATTTCGTCGAGTTGTGTACCCTTAGAATTTCCTCCTGGTCGATATTTTCCAGTTTTATGGTTTCTGGCCGTAGTTTGTGCCAAACTTGTTTGGGGCATAACTTTCTACTCGGGACTCGGTTTACGACGCTGTTTCTTCCGTTGTTCTTATTTTCTCATTTTAAATCTTTTTTGTTCACAGAGTTTTGCCGTTAGAGTGCGTCTGCTCGAATTTTACTTTTTTGGACCCGGCGGGGCCCTTTCGGGGCACTTTTTGAGATTTTCTATAAATAGGAGCACTTAAGAGAAAAAATCAGATTTTTCTCTCTCTCTCCTCTCTCTTGGCTGGATCTCATGGCAGCCATGGCTTCCATGCTTCTCTCTTCTTTTCCGATCACTTCCCTTGGTTGAAAAGGTGCAGTGCCTTAGTGTTTATTGTTCCCCTCGCCGTGCTCTACCTTTCCCCCTTATTAGATTTCAGTTTTGGCCATTTCTTGAGTTTAGGTTTGAGGTCAAGATGTGTTTTTGATGGGGCTTTCTTCGGATTCTTTTTCGTGGTGTTGTCCCCGACAAAACCTAGAAATTTCGTCGGATTCGGAGCGCTTCCATTTTGGTGGGGATTTGAGATTTTATCTCAAATGGAGGTAGGGAATGTTTTAGGATTATTTTTGTGTTGTATTATGTGTTTCCCATTATTATACAACCTATATGTTTGCCTTGTATCAAATCTAGAAAGTTAATAATTTTTATTTCTTTGTATAAGATTTAAAATTCATGATGATGTGTAACTTTGATTTAGATTGTGGCATGTTAAAAAGTTTAGTTTTAATATGTTGTTTAACATATATTAAATTGGGATTAATTAAATAAGGATTGCACTTTTTAATTAATATTTATCTTTTGTGAAAGATTAAAGTTCATGGCTATACCTTGCATGAAATTGAGTTGTATTATACTTCTAAATTAAGTTTTGACATGTTATTCAACATACTTTAATTTGAGAGCATTTGGTTGAGTTTGAAAATTAAGAGACTTTAATTAAGAGGATTAATTAAAATCTATTTTGTGGTTTCCTAGGCCTAATCAAGCTTTTGTGTGAATATATGTAATGATTATGATATGTCTTTCAACATATATTAAATTGAGGCCATTTGGGGATGATTTGAAATTTAGAGAGTTTGATTATTGTGATGTAATTAAATTCTATCTTGTTTATCCATGAATTTAATCATGTTTTAGGAGTTGCTTCTATTTTAAGATCATGGATTTAGACTTGTGGTGTATTCACTTGATTATGTTTTAAGCATTGGAAAGCGTTGTTGTTAAATTTATATTCATGAGAATATGTTTCTAATTTGAATATATTGTTGACTTGTGATTTCATAGCAGTATGAATATGAAATGCTTATTATGTACAATTGAGAGTTATATTGCTAATTTGTTACTATGTAGTAGTAATGTGTATAAGTTATGAACTTATTTTGTTTATTTTGGAGTCTTGGGACATTGTTTCGTGAGATGGCTAGAGTTTGGCTCTAGTACGGGACATGAGTCCTCTAAGTCAAAAGTTCGCGCGTTAGGTAGGCTGCCTGGGGGTTAGTAGCTCCAAATTTTCCTTGTCTCGGCGGAAATTCGAGCTTTGTTGTCCAAGTCTTCCACTATTTGTTTTCGCATTCAATTCCAAGTTTGCAATCATGTTTATATTGTGACTTGTGGTTTTGGCTATTGGCGAATTGATGTTGTTAAGCGCATCTATACTAAATTGTTATATTTAGTTGATTTCACACTTTTAGATTTCTAGTTGATAGTCTAGAGAATCTATGTTTTGATGTGTGGTATTAGATACTCTAATTATACTAAATTGTTATATTTAGTTGATTTCGCATTTTAGATTTTAAGTTGATTACTTGGAAAATCTATACCTTGTTGCTTTGTGTAAACATGTTCCTATATTGATACTTGGTGTAAGCATGTTCTTATATTGTTGCTTTGTGTAAGCATGTTATATCGTGTTGCTATGTGTAGCATGCTTTTGGGTTGTTGAAATTGTATAAAGGATGTGTTTTATGCTAGTAATGATCTTAGGTAGCTAGGATGCTCCCTAGGTCTCACCTTTGACATAGACGTTAGGTGAAATGAACCACAATGATTAAATCATGCAAACTTGTAAAACGTAGGTCGATGCATGCTCATTTCCTACGAGTAGCTTTATGTTACTCACCTCTACGATATTGGGGCATATTTCAGGTACAGGGTTCAAGGTTGGAGATTGCAATTGCTTGGGTGATTTGCTGAGTTGAGCTTCTTTAGAAGCATTCTTGTTCACATGCAAGTGTTAGCATGTTTATGATTTGTCTATGAAATGTAATTTTTCTAACTTAAGGTTTAACATGTCAAATGTTGTAAATGAATTGTAATAAGGCCATAGGCCATTGTAGCATGATTAAAATGTCATTTTACATTTGCGTGTATGTTCACATCATCACACACTTGCATAGAATGTAATTTGATCATGCTATGGGGGATTCAAATGAAAACATAAGGTCCATTTTCAGCTTTGGGGCATAACGGGTTCATATGCACATTTTCAAGCCATTTCGGTTAACCAAAATGCCAGTTCGGCCGATCGATTCTCTTTTGATTTTAATTGTTCAGCACAAAGTCCAATTCCAGTAGCCTTTTTCACTTCGAGGTTTATTTCGGTCGACCGGTTTGTCATTTCGGTCGATCGAAGTGAAGGTTTATTTCCTTCCTTTCTTGGTCCATTTCGGCAGACCGAAGCTCCATTTCGGTCGACCGAAATGGAGCTGTTTTGTGGTTTTTGCTTGGTCGTTTGTTTGGGCTGGTTCGTTTTGTCTATTGTTCCCACAGAACTTAGTTTATCTTGTTTAAGCCAATTAGTGGTGTACTTGGTCTAGTTTGAACTAGATCTTATTACTTTGGTTGTCATTGGTGCTATAGGGTACCATTTGTATTCTAGCTTTCGCTTCCAATTATTTCCTTGAGCTTCGTGACTTCATGGAAGGTCACATTGGTGTCTTAGAGATGGTTTATATCTCTAAAAACTTTGGCTTCATCTTTTGCTTCCGCATTTCGGATCCACTATCGGATCATTTTTCGGTTCATCACTGATGCACCGGGTTGAAAAACTTGGGCTGTCCCAATATAAACACATATACATCCAAATATCCAAATTGTCAACATTTCCTCATAGAGCATGCATAGGCAAAATATATACCAACCAAGTACTCAATTTTCCCTTTTTAGTTCATTGGTGCGCAAGAATAGAATAGAATGCAAGTGGATGGGATGGTCATTCTCATTCCAATGTTTGATTGCAAATATGAAATATGTAGGAATGAAATTATAATAATTATTTCACTGTTTTGTTGAACAAATTTAAAATTTAGAATATAATAAATTTCAAATTGAATTATGTAAAATACTGTTCTTTGTGACAAGTAAATTAAACTAATAAACTAAACATTCTTTTATATTTTTTTAAAAGAAATTGCAGAAGTGGTGGATAGCGGTGACAATGGTGGTGGAGGTGAAAAATGATAGTGGTGTAGGTGGTGATGGTGATGGAAGGCAGCGATGGTGTTAGCAGAAGGCGGTGGCAGTAACAATTGTGCTAGTGGTGGAACAATTCTGGTATAGGTGATGATGGTGGAAGGCAGTAGCGGTGGGAGTGGTGCATGTGGTGGTGGTGGAAGGTGGCAATGGTGTAGGTGACGACGGTGGTGGAAGGTGACGGTAGTGGTGGAAGTCAGTAAAGGTGGAAGAAGGCGTTAGTGATGGACGTGTCAATTGTGCTACTGGTGGTGGTGGTGGTGATAGTGGTAGTGAAAATAATGGCGGTGGTGGGTGTAATAGTGATGGTTGTCGAAGGTGGTCGTGCAAGTCAGTGGTGGCGGCGGCAGTGGAGGTTGTGGTGATGGAAGGTGGTGGAGGAAGCAACAATGATGGCGGTGGCAGTGACGGTGGTCAGGTGGTGGAAGGCAATGGAGGAGGCAACAGTGAAAGGCAGTAGTGGTTGTGGAATAAGGTGGTAGTGGTAGTGGTGGAAGGTAGTCGATTAGAGCCTTCCCAGCTCAGTTATTAAGCGGAAGCCTCCATAGTCGGAGTTTCTTGTGCGTCTCTACTCTCTGATCTTGTTGCTGCTTTTGCTTTCAAATGTTGAGGTAGCAATGTATGGTTGGATGGTTGGGAATGTGTTTGGGTGCATTTTTTGGGCCTTGTTTTGTGGGCCTGCTCCATGCTAGGAGTTTGTTTTGTTTTTTTTTTTTTTTTTGGTTTTATTGTTTTCTTGTTTTTTTCAGTTTTATCAATACACTAACATACCACCGAAGGAAAAAAAAAAAAAAAGTGTAACATCAATACCTAGAACTCCAAATCACCTCGGTAAAAAAAAAAAAACAAAAAACAAAAATCTCCTAATGAGCTACCAATTCTTTAGATACCAATTCACAAAGCTCTAGTGTGAGAAGATGAGAACTAAACCCTAACAAATCCTAACTGCACTGGACCATGAAATGGTTAAACACTTGTAGAAAAATATGCATAGCGTAAGAAAATAAATATTCACCACCCCAATTTAAATATATAATCATTGTACTAGAGAAGAGTAACATAGCCCTATTTAAGTTGAATACTAAAGAACCATAATAAGATTAGATACTTCTAATATAATAGAGCGAAAATATCTTAATTCAAAAAAAGATGTGCATTCTATTAATAGAACATATTATCACTTCAACCCCCATGTAGAAACAGCTACTCTTCACCTACTTCTTCTAGATCACCTGTAGAAACAAAAACAAAAATAAAAAAAAAAACAAATAAAATAGAATATAAATCATCACCATCCTTCAACAAAAGAAAAGGGAAAGGAAAATAATTAAATAAAAACCCACGCCGCTAGTGTTCAGCTTCCAAAGCAAAATGTTTATATGAAATAAAAGCCTATTCAGGTGTGCATGTGCACAAATTCTTTTTTTCCCTAAAATCCCGTCCTTAAGCCTCTAAATCGCATTACATATTCTTGACTTGCAACGTTGATGCACTTTATATGTTCCCCACAGGTCCGAAAATAAGAATCAGCTAAACGCAATTAGTCTATCTAGGATGAATTTTATCAAACCATCTAAGCCCCAATTCAGTACAATAAAAGATGCAAGAACCACCACAAAAGAAGCACATAAAAAAAAATTACAAGATACCATTCAAAATATAGCAGCAAAATAATCACAGGTCAAAAACTATACTTTAAGGCTTCTGAATAACTTTTTTCTAGAGGAGCAACAAAATCAACAAGAAACAAATTGACATGTACTACTGAGCCTGATGACAAGAGGAGAACAAAGGCTTTACTGAATTTTTAGGTTTATTTGTCTTCTCGAAATTAAATATATAGCGGTGCGTGCATGGAAGAAGCTAAGAAAATCTATTAGCCTATCAAATAACAAAAGAAGTGTGAGTTGATTCCAAAGAGATGCGATAAACTCTAATTTGGAGTGTGCATCTATGTCAAATTACCTTTTCAACTTTGTACACGAAGATCACTTGACTATCGTAGCTTCAATTCCTTCTTTCACCTTTAGTAGGAATAATCAACTAATTCTAATTAAGTTTAAAACAAAATTATAATTAGAACTAGAAATTAAACAAGTTGTTACAAACTCCAGTTCTTTTTACACAATTTGGCAACCTATGTCTTATAGACAAATCTCCCTTTTTGGCGATTTCACGACAACTATACAAAAACTAAACATTACATCAGAAGCTAAAACAAAAAGACTTTAGAAGACTTTAGAAGCTTTAACAACTAATAACATAATTAGAAAATAAACATGAAACTATACCACATGCATTATATCAAATGTGTTAAGAGAATATCAAAGCAATAAAACAATAAGTAAAGCAATAAAACTATCCCTTTTTTTCCCCATTGATTTATGTCTACCTTAAGATAGATCAAGCACCAACACATCAAGCAATCAGGTAAGCAAGCAATCAGACACGTGGAAAACAAGTTAAATATGCATTTCAAAAAATAATTCTCCCCCTTGTCACAAAATTGACATAATGAGTTAAACATAATATGAGCATTGACAATAAGGATCTATCACTCAAAGTCAATTAGTGATAAAATTATATATTCCAACTAAGTCCTATTGACTTGTACAAAATGTTGGAAGAATTAAGTACTAAAAAAATATGAAGAGAAACTGCCAAGTAGATCCAAATATAAAGAAAACCACATAAACAAACAGAAAGAGAAAATCATGTCAATCATCGCCGTGTACACCACCAAAGAAACAGCTCTTCAAGATAATTTGAAAATAGTAGAATCCCAAACTACCCAAATTCTTAGGCAACTCTAAATTCCGCCACAGCACATTGTTGGTAATGGGGCCTGTACTTCGCTTTGGAAGGAGTCTAGACCACAAGCCAAGTGTACTATAAGCCTAGCTGGTGAACCAATTCATGACCAGCGCAGCTGTGTCAATCAACGTCCTGCTCGATCTAAGCAGAAAATACCAAGATGAGATGGCAAAAGGATTTGGCAATGTATGGCCACACTCCTTCGACTGGAATTTGGGAAAGAGCGGAACTTGGTGATTCACTCATCCCTGTACTCAGAACACGTCTTTCATCCTTGCATCCCTAGCTCTGGTCATGAACGGACGGATGAGCCAAACATTCTATTTCTTATTTAATCAGAATGATCAGATTCCTTCTACCAATCTGAACTTCTTAGGAATGAAATTATAATAATTATTTCACTGTTTGGTTAAACAAATTTAAAATTTAGAATATAATGAATTTCAAATTGAATTATGTAAAATACCATTCTTTGTGAGAAGTAAATTAAATTAACAAAATAAACATTCTTTTATATATTTTTAAAAGAAATGGCAGATGTAGTGGATGGCGGTGACAATGGTGGTGGAGGTGAAAAGTGGTAGTGGTGTAGGTGGTGGTTGTGATGGAAGGCGGTAATGGTGTTAGCAGAAGGCGATGGCAGTAGCAATTGTGGTAGTGGTGGAACGTGTCAGTACTGGTGCAGGTGATGATGGCGAAAGACAGTGGTGCAAGTGGTGGTGGTGGAAGGCGGCAACGGTGTAGGTGGCGGTGGCGGTGGAAGGTGACAGTAGTGGCGGAAGTCGGTGGAGGTGGAAGAAGGCGGTGGTGATGGAGGTGTCGATAGTGGTGGTAATGGTGAACACAGTGGTAGTGGTGGGTGTAATAGTGATGGTGGTCAAAGGTGGTAGTCGTGGAAGTCAGTGGTGGAGGTGGCGGTGATGAAATGTGGTGGAGGCTGCAACAATGGTGGCGATGGCAATAACGGTGGTGGAAAGTAATAAAGGAGGCAATAGTGAAAGGCAGTGGTGGTTGTGGTAAAAGATAGCAGTTGTAGTGGTGGAAGGCAGTTGATTAGAGCCTTCCCAGCTCATTTATTAAGCGAAAGCCTCCATAGTCAGAGTTTCTTGTGCGTCTTTGCTCTCTAATCTAGTTGCTGCTTTTGCTTTCAAATGTTGAGGTAGCAATTTATGGTTGGGTGGATGGGCATGTGTTTGGGTGCATTTTTTGGGCCTGCTCTATGCTAGGTGTTTTATTTATTTATTTATTTATTTTTCAATATATCAATACCTAGAACTCCTAATCACCTCGGCAAAAAAAATAAAACAAAAATCTCCGAATGAGCTACCTATTCTTTAGATACCAATTCATAAGCTCAAGTGTGAGAAGATGAGAACTAAACCCAAACAGATCCTAACTACATTGGACCATGAAATGGTTGATCACTTGTAGAAAAATATGCGTAGCTTAAGAAAATAAATATGCACCACCCCAATTTACATATAATCATTGTACTAGAGAAGAGTTACATATACCTATTTAAGTTGAAGACTAAAGAACCATATTAAGATAAGATACTTCTAAAATAATAGAGTGAAAATATCTTAATTCAGAAAAAGATGTGCATTCCATTAATAGAACATATTATCACTTCAATCCCTGAGGAGAAAAATAGCTACTCTTCACCTACTTCTTCCAGATCACCTGTAGAAACACAAATAAATAAATAAATAAAATAAAAAATTATCACCATCCTTCAATAAAAGAAAAAGGAAAGGAAAATAATTAAATAAAAACCCATGCCACTAGTCCAGAACTTCCAAAGTAAAATGTTCATATGTGTTAGAATGTTATATACATATATATGTTGGGCCATTATGTAATTACATTCAATAGTAGGGCCCTTGTATTCTTTAGTTGACTTGTATCATTTATATAAGGTTCTCTCTCTCTCTCTCTCTGCCATCTACTCTCTCATCCCTCTCTCTATAATCTATAATCTATAAAATGAACATGGTATCAAAGCGTAGATCTGACTATTGACGTTGTTACCGTGGTGTGAGGGTGTGTACTAGCTCGTGAAGGGATCGTTTTTCGTCGTCGATCCGGCCTCTCGCTGCTCGCTGTTCTCCGTTTCCTGGCGCCGGTGGTTGTCGGGAGTAGTCGCCGCTGAAACTGAGTGTGGTTCCTTGCTATAGTCGAAATTTGTGGTTGGGGCTTCACCTTTTGGAGGTAAGGATCCTTGCTCGTTGTTGACGATAGTAGATTATTGCTCTCGCCGGCGTTGATTGAGAAGAAGAAGGGTAGTGTTTGGTTGCCGGCGCAAGGCTATCCTGATCCAGGTTCACTTAAACCTGCTGGGTCGAGATCCGGTTCAAGATTAACCTAGATCAGTAGATCTGGCCCGCTTTCAGATCCGACCCAGTTGACCCAGATCCAACCCGCTTGACCAGATCCGGCTCGTTTGCCCCAGATCCAGCCCGTTTTACCAGATCCGACCCGTTTTCCAGGTTCGGCCAGAATACAATTTTTGCATTTTTTTTTCTTCTTCTCTATTTTTTCTAGGTTAACCATGGCGTCCAGTTCAAATTTGTTCTCTCCCACATCTGGTCTTCATTCTCCCATGACTTCAGTTAAACTCAATGGGAAGAATTACATACTGTGGGC